ATGTCTGCTAGGTAGGCTGGTGTGGCATGGGACACATGCGTCTAAGGGTAGGATCTCACATGGGCCAATCAAGTTATTTCCATTAAGGGCATCTGATGGGCACAAGAACACAAAATTATAACAATGAAGATTGGAGGCATTAACCATAGGCTATGCAGTCAGACAGTGGTGAGTAATGCAAGCCCCCGTGTTAGTCAGCTGATGTTCAACCTGGAGGCCTGAGATGTCAGCCTATTGTGGAGGTGCTGATTCAGGGGTATACTATTATGCAGTGGGTCAGCCAGTGGGTATATAACAGCAGCTTTCAGTCCTCTGTAGGAGGTTTTGGGCCAGGGCGAGCTTCCACGGCTTTCCTTCCAGGTCTGTGGAATCAGAGTTATTCCGTTGCAGGTAGCAGCATAAGGCCCTCCAACTGCGTTGTGGATGCAATCTCCGATGGTGGTGTCTCATGGCCTTCCGCCTGTGGGGAATTTGTACCAGAGCCATACCCTGCTGTTTCTCTGCCCCGGAGGGTGTGCGTGTTTATTTTCTGCAGTGTGAGAAATCACCTTGCCCAGCAGAGTGTAGCAGAGACCTTCTGGCTGTCCATCCCATTTTCTGTTTATTTTGCATCTTTCGTGTGGATTTACAATATACCTAAGCATTCGTCTGGTTGTTCGGTAAACAGCCCTATCAGACTCAGTAAATGCTTCATTGCATCCGAACCAAAGTACCGAACAACCACACCACCCTGGGTGAAGTGTGGCTGCAATCTACCTCCCCATTCGTTTTATTCATTATAATTGAAAAGCACAAACCATTACTATAGTCCCTGGATGGCGCCATTTCGGCATACGAACACTGGCGGCGGCCATCTTAGCATACGAACGCTCAGCAGTGTTTGGTCGTCAAGTGTCTGGAACCCAAATCGGACACTCGACTACGCGAACACTGCTAAGACCTCCAGAGCTCCAGAACTGCCGACTGAAACACACGAACAGCCCGCCATTTGGTAAAATGAATCCCACGAACAAGGGGATTTATCCGAATGCCAACTCAGTCCTGGATGGCAAAGGTTTTTGGGACTTTTGACTCATGAAAGGAGACCGACCGCAAGGCCAAAATGTATGGAACTAATTTGGGCTACGGCTGCCTGTGCGGTCGGTCAAACGAACACTTCCACCTAACTCCCGAACCCCTGGTCTGATCTGGGTGATTTTTGAATATGTTGCTCACCCAGATCAGGGCTCTCAGGGGATAGGGGGTGTACCTGGTATATTTGGGGTACATACAGGAATTGGGGAAAAATGTGTACAGTATAAGTTAATTATCTGTTAAGCTGAGGGGAGGAGATCTGTGGGAGGTAACGTTTATTTGATTGGCTACTGTATTAATTATTGTGGGTGTCTCCCTTGCATGGGAGAAATGCTTAAAAGCAGGGTATGTGGAATAAAACATCACTTCTGCTCCTGATACTGTGTGTCGTCCAGTTATTGGGAAAGGTGATGGGATATTATTGGATTGTCTTACTGATCGTGTCTGCTACTATATGGTATTTACTACTTGTTCCTGAGCCATTCTGGGATTACCAGCGGAAATAGTCTATGGGAAATCAGCTCTCGGCTACACAGAGGCCTCTCCAGCTCCTCTCCGTGGAGCCTCTGAGCCTCCTGTGCTGACCGAGCAACTGGTGTCATTATTCTCGAGCAGGCCTCCAGTTTCGCCCAGAAAAGATAGCATTCAATGCAGCCATGGGTTGAAGAGATAAGCTGGTTGGGTGTAGCTGGCCCTGCAGAGCCAGACCATTTTGTGGAGCTAGGCCTCAGATCAGGAGTGTTGCAGCTCTCACAGGTTTGCTTTGTTGGGTCAGTGTTTGCAGCTCCAGCGGGGACCGGGTTAACCCCTGCCTGTCTGGGGGGAGCGTGGCCCAGACCATGGTCTTGTTGATGGATAAGCAGGAGACTGGCTGCGTCTCCCACCCCAGTACAAATAGTAGGCAGCAGTAAGCTTCGGGCCCCAGAAAAATCTGAGCAAAGCTAAGTAAGTCAGACAAGGAGGTTGTCATAGTTGTCTCCCTAGATCATGGGTCAAATTCAGCTGCAAAATGTCAATATTTTACACTTTATAAGCTTATATTACAGGATAATCCGAGGAGCTCCCTGAGCCTGCGTCAAGCTCGCTTGGCGGTCAGGCTCCGTTTCCCCAGGATTGACCTTGTTTAATAAAAATAAATATGTCTTGGATGCAAGTGGCAATTAGATACATTGAAAGGTTCATTAGTTGTGTTCACAAGTGTCTATAATGTATCTGTTTGTTTTTGTTAGCATTGATTGACATTGATATATTTCTAATGAACATATGATGTCCTTAGTCTTTGTCTGAAAATGTTGCCACGCTGAATGTCATTATAGTCTCTTTGGAACATGCAATGTTTCTTTAGCTATAGTTATATAGATATTAAAACTATTTGTATTTTTCATTACATGGCATTTGTGATGACATAAACTCTTTACAATTCCCAGTTCATATTCCAAGTTTATATTAATTGTTTTTAAATTGTCTTGTTCAGAAATAAAATAAAAAAAACATTAGTTTGTAAGAGCATTCAAATAAAACGTTGTTACAGCTGCTAATGTTGTATAGTTTAGCTTATTTGTTAAAAAGAGAGATGTCAGCCCATTAGGAATTTCATGCTTTTAATAGATTACCAGTTGTGTATCTAATGTTACTAAAGTTTCCTTATGGAGAACAATGTCATTTGATGTTATAATTGACATATTTTAGGGGAGACGGGTTGTATATGCATAAAAGGTAACCAGGAATCATATAACTTGTTGAAGCAATAGCATCATGGAACAGTACACACAAATAACAGCTTTATATGTTGGCAGATGCAGGTTCGGTTCCTGTATTAAACATCACACAACTAGGGGCCAAACATTTTCTCAAAACAAACAAAAACGGCGCCACCATGACCCACTCAAAGGCTAGCTAGAGTAAGCACAACGTAGAGGCACTCCACCGACCCCCCCATCTTTCACCCTTACCTCCTTAATAACTGGAGATTAACATAAAAAACAACTGCAGAGAGGGGGGAATGACCAAACATGGGTAGGCCCACGACAAACACCAAGATTGTTGGGAACAGCTAGGATCCACCCTCTAAACCGACTTGTACGCTTAATAACCAACAGGGTTTCACAATCAAGGTATGACCCTATTCTCTGAATGTATAAGTTATCTGTTTTCTAAAAGTGTCACATACACTGTACTCAATCCATTGCTCACACTGGTGAGCATATTACCGAGTGAAGATATGTATATAATGGGTGACTCTTTCCCCTAGTGAAAAGCCCTTTTTCCTCATGTTTTGAACTTGATGAAAAATAAAATAAAAATTGTTGTATTGAAAAAAAACCCCCCATGAATATATATATATATATATATATATACACATTAAAAAATGGTTGGAGCAGAGGAGGGGTAGAGGGTAGATGACACTAACATGGTGTGTACTTTAATTTCACTTCAAGTCATGACATTAGGTACTGAGAGAGTGCTGTTTTTTTTTTTTTCAATTAAAGCTACAGAAAAGTTTGACACAAACCATGCAGGGTGTGACTAGGGTAAAACATCTTTACCCTTTATTTGATAGAATGTGTTGTAGTGATTATGTTGTCCAGAGTTCCCCTTTTAAAATGTGGAATGTATCAAGGCATGACCCTCACTATGTAAGTATGTCACCAGCCATCACTGATTTTGGGGGAGGCTATAATGGGGAAACAATAAAGTTATGAGTCAACCTACCTCATGCTATACCTGTGTTAAAGAACCATCTTCCCATTAACTCAAAAATATTCCAAGAACTCTCACGTCTCCTTCTAAATTGAGGATCTAGGTGCTCTTTTTTTAGGTGCACAATCTGAATCCATCCGTGCCGGTGCTTAAGGTTACTGTGCATACTTTACCTTCCTAATCTCCATGGGGATTTTTCAGCCTGTTCTGATATTTTTCGTGAGAGTTAAAATTAACTGCAATACCGGTGCCGGCCAGTAGGTGGCGCTGTGTATGGCGAGAGACAGGGATAGGAAGCTGCATCTTATCCCTGCTTCTCTCTGCTGATTGAAACCGCAGGGGAACAACACATGCAGCCAGAGACAGCCTACAGATCAGGGGAGTGAGGTTGGGGGGGCAGCAGCCTACAGATCAGGGGATTGAGGCTGGGGGGGCAGCAGCCTATAGATTAGGGGAATGAGGCTGGGGGGCAGCAGCCTATAAATTAGGGAATGAGGCATGGGGGGCAGCCTATAAATTAGGGGAATGAGGTGGGGGGAAGCCTATAGATTAGGGGAATGAGGCTGGGGGGGCAGCCTATAGATTAGGGGAATGAGGCTGGGGGGCAGCCTATAGATTAGGGGAATGAGGCTGGGGGGCAGCCTATAGATTAGGGGAATGAGGCTGGGGGGGCAGCCTATAGATTAGGGGAATGAGGCTGGGGGCAGCCTATAGATGGGAGCAGGGGGGGGCAGCCTATAGATTAGGGAGGGCTGGGGGCAGCAGCCAGCCTAGATTAGAGGGAATGAGGCTGGGGGGCAGCCTATAGATTAGAGAGAATGGCTGGGGGCAGCACCATAGATTAGGATAATGAGGTGAAGCCTCTCCATAGATTGAAAGAGGCTGGGGGGCAGCCTATAGATTAGGGGAATGAGGCTGGGGGGCAGCCTATAGATTAGGGGAATGAGGCTGGGGGGGCAGCCTATAGATTAGGGGAATGAGGCTGGGGGGGGCAGCCTATAGATTAGGGGAATGAGGCTGGGGGGGCAGCCTATAGATTAGGGGAATGAGGCTGGGGGGGGCAGCCTATAGATTAGGGGAATGAGGCTGGGGGGTCAGCCTATAGATTAGAGGAATGAGGTGGGGGGGCAGCCTATCGATTAGGGGAGTGAGGCTGGGGGGGCAGCCTATAGATTAGGGGAGTGAGGCTGGGGGGGGCAGCCTATCGATTAGGGGAGTGAGGCTGGGGGGGGCACCCTAAAGCACAAACACACGCCACGTGTATATGTGTATGTGTGTATATATATATATATATATATATATATATATATATATATATATACACTGCTGTGTGATGTCTGTGTGTGAGGGTGCTGGTAGTGTGCTATGTGGGTGAGGGTGTTTGTGTGTGCTGTGTGTGAGAGTGCTGTTAGTGTGCTGTGTGTGAGGGAACTGGTAGTGTGCTGTGTGTGTGTGAGGGTGTTTGTGTGTGCGTGTTTGTTCAGGTCCTGTTAGTGTGCTGTGTGTGGGTGTTGTGTGTTTGTCAGGGTGCTGTTTGTGGGTGCTGTGCGAGTGTTGTGTGTGGGTTTTGTGTGTTTGTGAGGATGCTGCTAGTGTGCTGTGTGGGTGCTGTGTGTGCGAGGGTGCTGTATGTGTGTAGGTGCTGTGTGTGTGTGTGGGTGCTGTTTGTGGGCTGTGTGTGCTGTATGTTTGGGTGGAGGTGGGGGCAGATTAGTTAATATCCCCATCCTGCTGCCTTCGTTGGTGGTTCAGAGAGTGAACTCTAGCCCGGGTTCTCTGCTGCCTCCCTCCATGCTGCTGTGGACTGGTGAGGTAGATCTTTGATCTCCCCACCGGCCCATGGAGGCTTAGACCAGAGCCGCCGCTCGGATAGCGCCGGCTCTGCATGAGCCGACCGGGGAGATCCAGAGATCTCCCCTGACGGTCTCAATCCATTGGCGTGCCGCGGGGATTAGGGTGTGCCCAGGCACACCCGACACACCCCGTGCGCACACCTATGGAAGTGAGGGATGGGGAGACAGCCTACATGAAAAGTCAGCAAGGAGCAGGAAGGTAAAGTAAGAGAAGGAGCATAAAGGAGAAGGAACAGAAATGAGCAGGAAGGGACATCAAGGAGCAGAAAGGGTCAGAAATGAGCTGGAAGGGGCAGAAGGAGCACAAACGTAAAGTAGGAGAATGAACAGGAAGGGCCTGCAAGGGGCAGCAAGGAGCCGAAAGGGACAGAAGGAGAACAAAGGTAAAGTAGGAGAAGTAGCAGAAAGGGTCTGCAAGGAGCACAAAGGTAAAGTAGAAAAAGGAGCAGAAAGGGTCTGCAAGGAGCAGAAGGGCGCAAAATAAGCAGAAAGGTAAAGGAGCAGAAGGAGCCAAGGATAGAAAACAGTGTCAGAAGAAAAAGAAGACTGTCAAATGAAGGAGAGGAAAAGGAGATTGGAGCAGGAAGGACAAATTAAGTGAACCCTCCACTTTATTCTGGACACCACATCATAAGGCTTTGGTACCTGGGCCTGGCAGGGGAACTCTGGACCTTCTCATCTCCCCAGGTAAAAAAGATTTCAGTGTTAATGTGTTCACTTTTATTTACTGAGTGTCAGGAAGCACAGAGTGCCGCTGGGTAGGGGTATTGCTGATTGGCTAAAGCGGTCAGCTGGCACTCTAAGCCAATCAGTAGCTCCCCATTCATAAAAAAGTAAAAATATTTTATGAACTGGGAACTAGCGATTGGCTTAGAGCGTCAACTGTCCACTGTAGCCAATCAGCGGCACTCATGCCTGACATCAATCTGCACTTCCTGACACTCTGTTTCAGAAGCCGAATACCACTGAGCGACCTGGAGCTGGAGGAAGCATTTGGGGTTAAACCATTTGAGAGCGATTTAACCCCTTAAAGGAAAGAGAGCACCCAGGGGCTTCCTGGCATCATAGCATTTTCATTTAGGTGAAGTTGTTATGGTGACCAGAATGGTCCTTTAATTTGCTTAAAGGAACACTATAGTGTCAGGAATACAAACATATATTCCTGACACCATAGTTGTGAAAACGCTATTCACCCTGGCTTTATGTGATAATGGCTATGCCCCTTCCCTTTCATGACACTGTCAAAAAGGTACCAAGCATGGATGTCATTACAATTATGCCCCCCCCTGGAAAAATTCCTGCGGACGCCCATGCTAATCTCTATTGCTCTCTGTGTGGACTTATTTTTAATATATTTTTATGCTATAATAAATCTTTGTTACTTTTTAACCGATTTTTGGCGATACATTCTATTCATTGCTTAGGGCAGCCAGCTCTATGTACTGGCTCTTTGCCCAATTATAGGCACTTTTTTATCACATTGTGTAAGGTGATAGTTTATCCATTTATTTTTTTAAAACCTTTGCAGCTTTCATCTAAGTTAGTGAGTGAAAGTATATAATTCGGCACATATTACTCCTCTTCCAGAATCATGTTTCCTGGGTTATGAGGTAATTCTGCCATACATATATGGTTTGTGTATATATACACACATTTGAATCTTCATATAAATTTGATATTTTGCAATAACAATATTATATCCTACAAAATAATCTTTTAATATTCACCAGCTCCTGGATTTTTATTGCTACACCTCCTGTGCAGCAGACCTTATTTATTGAACAAAAGATGATTTATGAAGAAAGCAAATGTATATATATTGGAGGATGGCTAGGGGCTTGGGGATTATCCCCATGGGTATGTCCACACAACATGCTACACTTTATTAATAGCCCCGACAGGCTACCCTCTAGTGGTTGTCAGTATGAAAGCCAGTAGAGGTGGGCTTAATCCTGCAATATCAACATTGCGGTTTCTAAAAAGCTGCAGTATTTTACATTGCAGCAGGGTTAAACCAGACGTTTCTTTTCCAACTCTTTATATCTTTACTCTCATATATAGTCATACTCATTAGTCCTACTACAACTACTACTTCATTTACTAACGTAAAAACCTCACAAGACAAACCTTCTTTAAAATGAAAAACTATGCTTGCCAAAATTCAAGACCCAGGATTGCACTCACCCAGAGAAGGATTAAGATCCCATGGGGCCCTAGTTAAGGTTACCAGTTTTGGACCCCTTTGCCTCTTCTTCATTCTTCACACAGGGATAATTTAAAGGGGCCAAGCAAATTCATGGTGGCAAAGTCCCTAGGTCACCACATAGGTTCGCCTAGTGGTTAATTCTGTTCTGTCAATCCCCTGCATATTTAAACTTTTCTGGTGGTCTACCCTTTGAAACATGGGGGCGTCCTGATGAGAATTTCTTTCCCACTTTAGACTTGACAACAGAAAATTCTGTAGAGGAGAAGATAAATAAGCTCTTTTTGTATTTCACACCTATGGGTGCTAAATATTTTAAAATGAAATATTTTTCTTCCAAACAACTTCAATTTAGTGCAGTAGTTTTTTTTTTTTTAGAGCTGGAGTCAATGGGCATTGTCTTATCTTATGTCAGTCAAAAGATTTTACACTGAAGTTGCTCCCCCTGTGCCCATCTACACTGATTTCTCCTTTTTTCTTCTCAGCCGCTGTACTAAGCAGAGAAGGAAAGGTACCGATCACTGGGTGTAGGAGTTCTAGGTTAAAGTAGAAAGACATTTTCCCAGTACCATAAACACTACAATGTACAGCGCTGTACAGTTCGTGTTGCTTACAGTGTTCAATGTAAGAGAACACTTAGAACAGACAAAACAAATGTGTTCAATTTCAGTTCCTACTTTGCTCACTAGAGACATCAGAGAGAAAACCAAGGTGAATGCTAGATGCCAATTTATGTAGGCTCCAGTACATGTTAGTGGGTCTATTTATCACGTGTACCATCTACACTATATTTGTTTTTTCTTTTTCTGTATAATTGGTGTAAATCCCTACTTATATCAAGTTTTCTTAAAAGGGTAAGCAATCCTGGTTTCTTTATTTTAGTGCTCCACTAAGGGTATAGATTATATCACTTCTATCACTTTATTTTTTTATTGTTAAAGTGTGGTTTGTGGGAGGAGGGTTTTTCCACACAAGTATTCAGAGCTGCTGTTTTCTAATTTGCAAATATACGTGCTTTAGATTTGACACTCTCTCTCCTATTGGAGTTTTATTTGTTTTATTTAGCAGCAAACCCAGACTATTATTTCTAGTTGTTTTGAGTTAGTGAGCAGTGCCAACCCTGCCGGGCAACTAGGCCTAACCATGTTCAGAGTGCTGCAATAGAGCTTTCATATGGACAGATATATTCTGTAATGGCATTGCTCAATTGCCCATATATTTATTCTAATTATCAAATGGACAAAAAACTACAAAGAATGGAAACTGTATTGAAAAAGTCTCCAAGAAATACACATTTTAGTGCTCAAAATCCAATCCAAATTAATATAATGCAATATAAGTGTCTCTCATATAGATACAACCTACCAGTCATATGCTTAAAGGGTAATTAAAGACACTGTATGCAGCTTAACAACCTTAGTTTACTGAAGCTGTAATAATGCCTTCAGTCCTGCCCCCCCCAAATCCTTCAGTTTGCTAATAAGAGGGTTTATACGCACAGCTTCCAGCCACGCCCCCAAGCCTTCTAGGTATGAGAGACTGGAATCGTACTGCTCTCATACCGTAACATACAGTGGCGTCACATGCGCAGTTCCATTGTGGTGGGTCATAGAGCATCATCGTATTCAATGATTCTCTATGGCAGAATCTTATATTGCAAAAATGGCAATAGGAGCTGCACTGAATCTCAGCAGCCACCCGGTGCTCCGGAGCAGGACCAGCAATCCTACAACAATAAGAAAACACAAGAAATTCTCCAGGCACTCAAGGTGTTCAAGCCGCAGGCAGTTTTAATAGAACAAAAAAAGGAGCAGCAACGTTTCGACCTTCTAAGAGGTCTTTGTCAAGCTGACAAAGACCTCTTAGCAGGTCGAAACGTTGCTGCTCCTTTTTTTTGTTCTATTAAAACTGCCTGCGGCTTGAACACCTTGAGTGCCTGGAGAATATCTTGTGTTGTCTTATGGCAGAATCTTAGGCGCAACATGGTGAGCACTGCGTATGGGCCTAAGGTCCCCAATAGTCCTCAAAGAGGAGCATTGGATTGGCCTGTCATCGTGGAGGCGTGCGCAACCTTAGTGTAAGGTCGTGGCAGCGCTAAGGGAGACTCTGTGCTGGAGAAAATGTAATTTTTTTTTCTTTTTTCTTTTACAAAGTGGGGTGGACCTAATTAAAGGTTAGGGCTGCAGTGTTAGGAATATACTTATGTATTCCCAACTCTACAGTGGTCATTCAAGTCAAATGCATGTTTTGCGATGATTTCGATATCCTGCTCTAGTGAAGATTCACTATTATCTTAACACAGTTCAGTTTCATCTAAATGGAAACGAAGTGCCAAGCTGTGTCCTTGTACTGACTTAGTAATTTGTGGGCTCTACTCCGGTTCCCAAGACAAAGAGCATGGCTGTCAGACTCAACCTGCCTCTGCCCATTATTCGTTCCCTGCGGTTCAGCCTCCGACCAGCAGATGTCGAACTTGTAATTTCAGCTTGCTGGAGAGTGAGGTCTCTCTTCTTTGGATTTTTGGCGGTGTCGTCATTGGCGACGGAGGCCGGACGCACCGAGCTGTCTTTGTGTGCCCGGCCGGAGCGGCACTGTGGAGATTCCGGTAAGATATTTCAACTTCCCGGCTGGCAGCGGAACCAGCCGTGTATATACATTGTGACATATCTCTATGGTGATAGAATGTTGGCTGAATGCATCGTTCCATGGTGAACAACATTCACACTCATTATATAGGACATGTTTATCTGATCACAAACAGGCTGCTTGTTAAATATCAGGTCACCCAGTTGTGCTATATTTTTTTCTGTATTTATTAAAGAACGCTCTGTCAGTCAAATATTCCTTTCTTTTTTTTTTGTTCTATTATTGTAACGGCTGAGTGTTTTGTTTTATTTTTTTTCAAAATTTTAACTAGAAACATATATGTGAGTTTTTTTTGTTTTTCTCCAGCTTATATGTGGGTATGGTTACAGTTTACACTTTGCTTTTGTGTTTTGGGATGCTCATGGAATCAAGCCCCAAAAAAAAAAAATAATAAAACAGGTACACATTAAAATGTCGAGTTCATATGCTTCAATTGGGTTTAATCATACCTGGGCTATTAAAGGAACTTGTCATTAAAAGGGTTATTGAAACCAAGAAAACACTGGCTTCCATGGGAGTAACCCTTGCTAGCCTTGTTCTCCCCATCTCAATAAAAATAAAATAAACCAGTGTTCTAACTCATTGGAATTCAGAGCCAAAACCAAGTTCTGCCCTTTGCCCACAATTCTTCTTGACTGAAATTACTCAGCTTCTTTTAGAAAGGAGGAGTGAGAGGGGGGGGGCATGGCATGCTGACATTGGCTTTCCGGTGCTTTCTTGCTGTGTGTGTGTGCTGATGTCTGTCTTCAATTTTGCACAGGATTGATACTAGCCTGCCTGTACTGGCTAATAACTGCCATGACTCTGCCGGAGGTGGTTAATGTCTGTATGTGTTCTTCTTAGCAAAGTGTTGCACATACAGACTCCAGGCACCACGACCACTTCAAATCACTGGAGTAATTTAATTTAGAATGTTTTAAAACATTAATTGTCGAGGACAGCAAGAATTTATTACATGTTCTAAAATACCCATGAGCTTATAACAGATTACTGAGAAACAGCCAGGGTTCCTGATTGACTCTAATACTTTAGATGTAAATATTCAGTTCTCAGATATACAAACACTACTGAAATATACAGGTATTTCTTCTTTGGACAGAACAACTATTAAACATTTGGCCACTAACTGGGGATTTTAAAAATACAAAATTCAGAGGATTGCAGCGTTATTTTCTTCTCTGCCAGTTATTCCTCACAGCATAATTGTAAAATTTAATATGCCTGTGTTGTGTAAAGGCAAATAAGGATTTTCTTTTTTTGTACAGAGCGCACTTGAATTCTACATACTTATTGGCAGCACTATGAAACTCTAACAGAATGCAGAATCCATGCATAACAAAATAAAGAGCCTAGTTAATATCTATCCAAAAACTTAGAATTTGTTGTGAAATATGTACATATACCTTAAATGGCAATTCTTCCACTGACTGCGATAAGTATAGATAGTGGTCTGTTGATTGAGGGATCAGATAGCTAAAGTTTAGCTAAATCTTTAAAACTTCAAATCCCTTGTGATGTTATCCACCCTCCTTTTAATGCAGTTCATTACCAGATAAAATGTTATGTGATATTTTAGTGTATATTGATAAATTATTGAATTAAATTTGGAATGGCTTTTAAATGTAGTGTATTCGGTTATGATATTTAAAAAAAAAAAAAAAAATGTTTGGGGAAAGTAACCATTAACCACAAAAGTATTGCTTCCATTATGTTTTGTCAGCATGGGCATCATCAAGTTGTAATTTTACAGCTGGAAGGGTACTTACTTTTTGAGTAACAGTTGTTTATATTGAGTGATCCTTATCATAAAGTTTTTCTGCCTTCTTTTTTCCTACTTGATTCCATGAAACGTAAAACCAATTTGTTTAAAGTGAATTTAACATCTGAATCTTGAATGGTAAAAATTTCACAGAATGCTTAATGGCTATTTATTTTATATTGAATAAATGGGTTAAAACTTAATTTTCCTGTGTGATTTGTAATTACTCTTTATTTAAAGGGACACTATAGTCAACAGAACAGCTACAGCTTATTGTATTTGTTCTGGTGAGTATAATTATTCCTGAAAAGGCAGTGTTTACATTACCCACTAGGGACACCTCCAGTGGCCACTCCTGAGATGGCCACTGGAGGTGCTTCCTGGGGCTACAGCACTGTCGTTCAGCTGGAGACGCTGAATTGTCCTCATAGAAATGCACCGATTCAATGCATCTCTATGAGGAGATACTGATTGGCCAAGCTGGCGTTTGGCCTTGCCATCGTCGCCCCTTCTCGCCTATTTCAGCCAATCCAGTGTGTTCCCTATGAAAAAGCATTGGATTGGCTAAAAATCATAAATTCCCATGATTTCAGCAAGGAGACTGATTGAGGGCGGAGCCAGCACCTGCAGACCCACGCAGCGCTGTAAATAAGTTTTATTACCTTTTCAAGGGATAAGAGTGGACAAGCCACCTAAATGGTGGTTTTAACACTATAGGGCCAGGAATACATGTTTATGATTATTATATTAAAATAGTTTAACGCCCCCCTAATTAATAAGTAGCTTCTAATAATTTATCACTTTTATAGATTTGTAAATGGTCTGCTTTAAGGTTATTGCATTAATCATAAAATATGACTTGAATTGGAATGACTTGTCAGCCAACATATGTAGCACGAAGGATCTTTCTAAATGAACATATTAAAGAGTCACGCTAAGAAGCATAGCAACAATAGACTAGTGATTATTGTGCTTAGACTACCCCTTTAAATAATAAATTAATCCAGGGCTTGACAAATTTGTTTGGAATCTAGGAGCCAGCTAAAAAAAATTAGGAGCCAGTCATTTTCAAAAAGAAAAATGCAATTCTTAAAGGGACACTATAGTCACTAGAACCACTACAGCTTGATGTAGTTGTTCTGGTGTCTATAATCCATCCCTGCAGGCTTTGCAGTGTTTACATTGCTGCTCAGTAAAGCCTCTTGTGACAGTCACTCAGACGGCCACTAGAGAGTCCTGGGTCACTGCTGCACCACATGCAGCACCCACGTTCAGTGTCCCCAAGCTCTGCATGGAGGTATTGAATGTTCCTCATAGAGATTCCTTAATTTGATACATCTCTATGAGGAGATGCGGATTGGCAAATTTGCTACGCATGCACAAAATCCTCCAAATGCTTTCCTAAGGCAAAGCATTGGCTTAGCTGAGATCATAAAGATTGATCATCTCAGCCATGTAGGTGGGACTAGGCACCGTGAAACTGGCATGGTGTGGGGAAAAAGTGAGTAAAAACATCTTCCTCATGAGATCGGAGGATGCAGGTACCTAAATGCGTGCGCACACACATTGACAGGCTCACACTCTGATAGGCTCTCTCACTCACACACACACACACACACACTCTCACTCTGACAGGCTCACACACACTCTAATTTTGTTTTAAATGAAACCCACTCAGCCTCCCTACATTTGAGAGAGCTGAGTGGGTCTTTCCCTGGGGTCCAGTGGGGCTGCTCTCTTCCTACGTGTGAGGGAGCAGTACTCTACCTGCAGCTCCTTTCTGCTCCCTCGCGCCTCGTGATGTCATATTCCAGCTCCCAGCATCATTACACAGCGCAAGGGAGCAGAGATGAACCGCAGGAATATTATTGCTCCCTTGCGCGCCGCCTACAATGCTTATGCAAGTGGCCGGCTCCATGCTACCTCAGCCAGACGCCTCCTTCCTCCTTAGGGTCGCCTAATTGTTCCCCAGACCGGCCGGCTGCCTTTAAAGTTTCCTCGGCCCCAGTAACTGGCAAATACCAGGCGCCAGTGCAAAATGTCCAGTCACCATGGCGACCTGGAATTTGTTGAGCCCTGAATTAATCAAATGTATAATAATTTTACATAAGAAAGTAAAGTAAACAATGTTGGGTACAAAGGCATTTGCCATACTTGATCATAATATTTTATATTGTATAGTGTGTGACATTTATAAAAAGTATTTGGTTCTCCAATTTTGCCAGGGACATATGATAAAATAGTTAATATGTCTCTGTTAATGTTAAAAGAAAAAAAACTTATTCTGTTTTTTACTTTTCTAAGTTCAATAAAAAAAGTATTGTTGAGTTGGATAGAAGCCATGCATCATGCATTAACTTTTTAAATTATTTTATCTTTATTTTAGGATAAAAACCATGAGTTCAGATTTCCCTTACGGACTCAGTATGATTGTTTACTATTTATACTACTTTAATGCTAATAGTTAGGTTTTATTATAAGTTATGCTTGCTGGAAGCGCTTTTGTTTTATGTGCAGATTATATTCAAATATTTAGGTGATCTACCCCACCGCATATTGACACTAGTTCAAATTAATTTCTGTTGGCTGATTTCAGAATAGGGATATTGTGTCTACTTACATTTTTGCCATTGGATTTTATGGTGCTTAGTACCATATGTAATGTTTCTATAAAGTGTTATTTAATCTAGTTATTCTCTGGTGCACGCTCACTTTTTATGTGTGTTTATATCCAGATGTTCCCCCTAAAAAGAAAAACCTAGAGTGTTTAACAGTGATGTCTGTAAAAGGAACAGCCGTGAGTTCAGAAACTTGGTGCTATGTAACATGCGGTGTATTTCTACTGGGTATATTCTTTGTATAGTTTGGAATAATCTGTTTGTGAACATTTAAATTCACTTCTATAATTTTGTCTAATTTGTACATATGTATTATTTTAAAATATTATTTAACTTTTAGCAATCTTTTCTTAGTTCAAGAGTTGGCTGTATCGTGCTTTTTAGACAAGAAGTGTTAATGCTCACTTTATTTTTTTTCTTTCAGGTATATCCTCATCATTTATTGGATGGGGTACAAGAAACTTTTTCACAAGTGGAAGAGTTAACAATAGTGAGAGGTGAAGAATTAAAGCAGTGGACCGGGTATCTTTCACAAGACAAGAAAGTAAAAATGGGCATGCGGATCAAGCTCAACAGTAGTGATCACCCCAACAATTTGTTACGGGAGCTTAACAAATCACGCTTGTCACAGACACTATGTGATGTTACCATTGTAGTAGGAAATCGCTCTTTTGCAGCTCACAAAGCTGTGTTGGGCTCTGCAGCAGCCTATTTCCAAAAATTATTTTTGAGCACTGAGCTGGACATAGCACGTACATATGTGGTGGACTTTATCACACCGACAAATTTTGAGAAAGTGTTGAGCTTTATTTATACGTCTGAGCTATTCACAGACCTTATTAATGTTGGTGTTATTTATGAAGTGGCTGAGAAGCTTGGCATGGATGATTTATTGAGGGCTTGTCATGCAACTTTTCCTGATCTGGAAAGCTCCTCAGGACAGAAGAACCAGTGCTCTGTTTCCTCTAGTGAAGGTCGCACAAGTACTTTAAGTTCTGCTTCAACAGAGCAAATCCAAGTAGATTCAAAAGGCAGTGGGTTGGATAACCATCCACAGAATACAGATAAGACATTTGTTGGCCAAACAGATGGAACTAGTGGCTTTAAAGGAGAGGACGTAGATGTGAATTTGAACCAAACCCAGAATTTCCCACTAACAGCAAAAACCGAAGAGCAAAGCACTTCTGGGACCTATCAATCCTCTCAATGTTCAGTAAATGCAGGATTTGGTCCAACAAGTACAAGCCAATCGTATAAAGTTCAGCATAATGGAGAATACAACAAAAATAGTTATTTCCCTGGGGACAGTTCTGTGAGCGGAAACCCCAAAGAATCTACTGGAGGGTTTGATCCAATGGGAGATCTGCACTTGGATGAACTTGAAGAGGAAGAGCTACAGTTTGATGATGGTGGAGAAGAGGACTCTGGGCCTTCTGGAGAAATTATAGAACTTAGTGATGGCAGTGAGGATGAGCTGCTCTTGTTTGGACAGAGTGATAGCCGTAATAGTAAAGCTATGCCTTGTCAAGTGTGCAAAAAAGTACTCGAACCCAACCTGCAACATATCCGACAACATGCACGTGAACATGTAGACCCCCGTACTGGCTGTTGCAAAGTGTGTCAGGCCCGTTTCCATGATCGTGGCGCTATGATTACTCATGTCCTGTCTCATGTTGGGATATTCCTTTTTTCCTGCGATATGTGTGAAGACAAGTTTTTCAGCCAGTGGCAACTCACTCTTCACAGAGGACAAGAAGGGGCATCATCAGAGCACAATATCATTATTCACCCAGGTCAACATCTTCCAGGTGAAGTGAACACTTTTGTAGGGGCACTGGGTAGTGAACTACCTTGTGGAGCCTGTCATAGGACCATGCTGCGTGATTTCCACTCTGTACGATCTCACGCTTTAGAACATCTTAACCCCAAAACTTTATGTTGTGGACTCTGTGAACAACGACATTTAACACTTTGTGGGTTGATGTGGCATACCTTATCTCACATGTCTATATCTGTTTTTTCCTGCTCACTCTGTGCTAGCAGCTTTCTTGACCGCCACTTGCTTGAAAAACACATGACAGTCCACCAAAGTTTGGATGAACCATTATTCCGCTGTCACCTTTGCTCCCAGGGATTTAAGTCCGAATCAGCCTACCGGCAGCACCTGGCTCAGCACCGCTGTGGCAGTATCCCAGCAGAACGTCAAGGGTTCTCAGACTATCCACAAATGCATATGGCATCTTCAAAGCGAAAGGTACCAGAGGATTTTTCAGTTGATGACCTTTCTCTCAGTGGTCAGACAGGTCACAGTAAATACACATGCAAAGTTTGCGGTAAAAGTTTCTCTCATACCAGTGAGTTTAACTACCACCGGCGCATCCATACTGGGGAAAAGCCTTACCAGTGCAAAGTGTGCCACAAGTTCTTCCGTGGCCGTTCAACCATCAAATGCCACCTGAAGACTCATGCAGGAGCCCTGATGTATAGATGTACTGTTTGTGGACACTACAGTTCTACCCTGAACCTCATGGGTGAGCACATTGCAGTGCACCGGGGTAACCTGCCTACAGACTTTACCATTGACCAAACATTCATGTACACTATTCACTCCAAAGATACAGACAAGAGTGCTGACAGCTGATGTGTTATATTAAGGGAAGAGGGCTGTATTTTTTTAATCTATTTTTTTTAATTATATATATATATATTTAAAGCTCAGTTCCTTTTGCAGTGTGACAAGCAGAACTCAGATAAGGTATTTACATGTGTGTTTTCATCTCTCTGTCCTAATAATTTGTGGTTTTTTTTTTGTTTTTTTTAGAAAATGTTTGAATAATGGTGATTTCTTTTCATAAACAAATAATTTAGCTTGCGTGCTTAATGTGTCTTTAACGATTCATTAAGTCTTCAGTGCATATGAAATTAGTTTTGCATGTGTTAGAATGTATATCACTGTAGTTCTAGTTTGGGCACTTTAAACCACTCTTTAGTTATAACCTCATTTGCTGCCGTGGAGCTACAGGTTAACTCCTTTTAAGATGGCACATCTGACCATGGCAGGAACATGTCAGATTAGGGCATGACTTTTTCCTCAGAAAAAGATGTGCGAGCTGACCCGCTTTTACAGGGAATCATAGCATTGTGCAGTTATGCTCATTCGTCTGGTGTGTGTGTGTGTGTATATCGCATTTCCATTTCCACTTTTACACTTGTTTTACCGTCAGGTGCTAAGACAGCAAATTAAATTTTAAACTCTCTTGTTGTTGCAGGTTGAGGTTCAGTTTCTTGAACTAAACTAATTTTGAAATTACTACCAGAGAAGTAAATATGGTACACACAACGTTTATTTTAACTTTTTGCTTCTTTAATAAAAGCAAATGATAAAATGTGCTGCCTGAGAAGTGCATAAGCAGCATGGAAAGTTGCTGATGACCCTAGCCTTTCAGCCGATCTTAGGAGACCTATCTGTCAGTCACTTTCTCTCACTACTAATATTGAGATATTGTCAATGAATTAAATAATAGGGACTTCATTTTCTTTCTCATCTGGATAGAATAATTCTAAAATGTAGTCTTTTCACTGTTAGAAGCAGTGTATGTATACTGAATATTTTAACCTGAGACGTGTAGGCTCCGTGGTAACATATAAAATGGCCTGAAAGTACCTTCACCCTTCTGTTCAAATAGAAAAATATTAGTGGTTGCTTTGTGGCCTGTTCAAATAAAGGATACGAACATTTTGTAGAATGTTTCTGTGAAGAGTTGTTGAAACCTGTTATCTCATACAAAAAAAACTGCTGTAGTTTGGGGACAGGTAATACTGCATGAATATCCTATTTAAGCCTTTTTTTTTATAGCCTAAACACTGACCATTAAATGGATCTCTCAGTTCACTGAAAATAACAGAGGGGTGGGTAGAGGTATGTATAGAACATACCTTCACTGCACTTCCAGATGTGAGTGATGTCCTCATCCCATGAGACTCCAGGCACATGTTAATTTCTCCCATAGTGCCCTGTGCACTCAAATACCCTCATGATACCATGACGTTAAATACATTTACATCATATGCTCTAGATGTAAATTGGAAAAAAGGAAAAATAAACTTACAAATAAAGGACAACAACATAGCTAACATCTTTTTAGTTTAGTTTAGCTGTTGAAATGTATAAAACGTATACAAGCTATGGCTCCAATTTAAAACATATATTACTTGTGTGTTACTTTGCGGTTTCCTTAAAAACTTACACAAGTTGAGACCTTGTTAACCTACTTAAAAGAAATAAGTAATTGTCACTGTCATCACAAATTCTAGCTAGCTTGCTTGACAGGAGTTGTATCACCAATCTTGTGCTTATTTAAGAACGTGGAATGCTCTCTATGGCACATCATTCAAAACTACAGATATTAAAGGTATATTTTTTATATGGACTACTAATACCTAAGACCTTGGCTGTCAAACATTGACGGCTGAGAAGAACAGCTTACCAATAAAATCCTGGTTAAGCTTTCCAAATTCAGGTAGTGTTTACTTTGTGTTAAGTACACCTTTTAAATGAATTTGAGAAATATATAGTAATAAGGAGTTTTTCAAGGGGCACTCAATGCATCATAACCACTACATAGCACGATTGTGGTTTTGGTGCAAATAGTCCTTTTGTGAGTACCGATAATAAACACGTTTTGAAACTGACCTGACTCTGTCAGGTACCTGTGGTCTTACCGGTCTGAGCTGGTGTGGTAATACAGACGTTCATGCCTGTGCATTATCATACCATGTTTGGATATTATTCAATGGTTGAGAGTGGTTCTGGTGCTCAGAGTATCCCTTTAATTTAGAATTCGACTTCTTTAGGAACTGGCAGTGTGTTTGCTTTAACACCCTTACTTCCTTAGAATGCTATTTAGCAATAACATTGTCTAACTTTTGTTAACTTACCCTGTATGACTTCAATTGGAGAAAACTTGGTACCGGGGAAGCTCATAAAATGGCACTTGTAACCTTTTTATACTACATTTTAAGCTACATGTGTATATTGTGCTCTCTACCCTTTACACTATCGCAGTATCAATCAATACATGATTTAAAGGATGTTTTATAGATTGTTCTCCTCTGCTAATTGGAAACTAGTGTGTCACTCCTTGATTTAACCAAAACGTCATGAACAAGACTTATAGTTAAAACATGTAGGCAATCCAATATTCCCTTGCTTTGTATCACTTTTCACTACTATTAGTTTCTATATTTATGACACTAGATCTACTTTTTCAAGAAGACGAAATATAAGTCTGTAAAGAGATTTAATGTGGAGTATTTACAAATTCAACCACACCAAATACACTGAAATAGCTGATGATATTTTAGCAGTAAAAAAATAAAGTGCATGAAATTAAGGTCTGTGGCTTCAATCAGGAAGGCAGCTGAGATCTTCCAACAGCTCTCCATTCACAAAACCTAGTAAAAAAAAAAAAAGGTAGGTATCTTTTCACTCTGTTTTGTGAACGGGGAGCTATTTGATAGACTGAGAGTATTAACTGATGCTTTTAGCCTGTCAGCAGGAAAAAGTCAGAGGCTTCTTCACTGAAGCCTCGGCCTGAAACAGAAGTGGAGGGGCAGAGCCGATGGGCACCAGACTGAAAGCTTTGAGGTTAAGTCAGTGCTCGGGGCCTCCTCGCACCATAACAACTTTATTCAGATGAAGCTGTATTGGTGCCCACAGTGTTTACATCAGTATTTCACTACTTCAGAGCTGTTTAATTGTTCTGGAGGTCAAAATTTGAAAACTTCTATGGACTTTGATTCAAATAAAATGACAAGTACCAGTAGTCTAAAAGAACATACACGAGGCTACATACTGGAGCATGTGGATATAGGACATAGCTCTTGCAAGATTACAGTCTGGAGAGCGTGAGAGAAATGGAATCTAATACAATATTACCTGTTGTACGTTTTGTACAAATATTATTTTACGTAAAACTAACCATGCTTTCTGTAATGGTTAATAATTTGAATCAATATGGTGCAAGTTACTATAATTTTCTTTAACACCTTCACTACCATAACTGTTTGTACTTTTACCTACATTTATAGTCAATTATAAATTATCACCTCGTACATGAACTCATTTGATATCTGCATATAAGTTGTAAATGACAGCCCATTCCCCTCCAAACCGTATGGATGTTTACTATTCCTATCAACTGTGAAGGGAGAAGTTATTGAGTTCACTAATATGCCTCTTTGAATTATATTAGCATCACAGAGATTGCTGTAACACTTATAAATACATTTATTTTAGAAAGATGTGAAAAAACTACTTACTGTTGATCCACATTATGGTAAAATACAGACATTCTTTTTACATTATTTTACCACTTTTAGTATGCTCTGTTTGTATTGCCATCAGGGTCGTTACAAACACGTATAAGCAAAGTATTTGACACATAGTAGGATACTGTCTGAAATCATCATCCCCCCACTATTTCTATTTAAGATGAATGAAAAATAAAATTTTATATCATTTTTATTGTTTACCTTAACAGCAATCTATACATAAAATTGCTGTTTTATCATATGTTTATGTGCTTTCTACACACACCAGTTTTAGATAAATGTTATGCTAATGTGGTTCTAAACATTCTTGGTAGTGATGGGTTTAAAGTTATCTCAAGCCCCTGCATTAACCCCTTAAGGACATGTCATGATTCCCTTTTATTCCAGAAGTTTGGTCTATATGGGGTTAAAATAATAGAAACACTTCACTTTTTGGATTCTAACTCTGTCATATGATATCCTTTGTTCTAAATAGTATAGGGCTGTTCTTTAACAACTACTCAATCCATGCCATTAGAGAGACACTATCAGTGATTGTGACTCCTATTTTACAACAAAGTTCTTACTTTTCAAATTTGTACAGTTAAAGTGTTTTCATGGCAAGATGATGTAAATTGCACAATCAACCATGTGGACAACTGTGAAAGGAACACAGGATTACCAAATCTATTAAACAATCATTAAAACAAGTATAGTGTATGCCTATAGACATCTTTTAAATTTTCCCCAGATCATGTGATCCGTAGTACTAGATGGAGTGACAATCTTGTAAGTGGGCGTGGATCTTGTTTTCTTAAGAATACTTCTAAAGTAATGCTTCAATTTAACATCCAGGTGTAAAATAATCCTCCCGTTTTTAGCTTCAGATTAGTTTTGTTTTAACTCTGTAAGCTTAAAAGTGATTTAAAAAAAAAAAAAGAGATATATATATATATATATATATATATATATATATATATATAAAAACCTCGAAGTGTTGAAATGGTTGTCATATATCTTGAGCAATTTAGAAGAGGAAAAAAACAAATGTGTTACTTAGTTTAAAAATACAGAAGGAAGTCAGTGTGTAACTCCCAATTATTACATGATTCCGTCATGACTGATCTGATAGAACTCTGATTAATAAGGCACCTAATTATATCTACATGGTGTGCTTGGAAAATGAAACCATGCAGTTGTTGCTTTATTCTTCTGCCCATATCAAAAACCGGCTGCAATTGCTATCAATACTGTAAATTAGGTATTGTAAAATGCTCCTTATGTCATTTGTGAGCATCTAACTGCCTCTATTATGGCAGTCATCTTGGAGGAGGCAGATGTAATCTGTTGGTATATCCAAACATGTTTTAATGTTTGTTTTAGCTTAAGGTGTAGATAAAATTGAGATCCAAATATTTAGTGGTTGATGAGGAAGCTTAACTGATGTATTGCCTTTCTTATTTAATGGCTTCATAGTACATCCATTCCAGTAAAATGTATCTATGTGAATTATTTTTCTCCATCATATAGGTAGTGCATTTAAAATCAACTTTCCCCTGCAATCTGAGCCAGGTAATGTGTACCACTGCTTTGATTATGCAATTAAACATATCTTCCCTCATTTGATCTCCTCTCCATTGTAGGTCACTGATGGATTTTTGAATTCCCTTTGACTTTAATGGGAATATTGTCTGTTAATCTTCACAAGTTCTCAAATGTTTGCAGGCTCTGAAAGCAACAGACGAATAAGTTGAGTTACATAAAATGTGTATTCATAGAGCAGTTGCGACACCAGCAGTAAAGTTTTACTAATAAAATTTTAAAAATACCAACATTTCAAATTTTACAATTTCAACAGCACATTGTGTAGGTTCAGTTTATTTAAAGGAAACTGGCCTTGTGTACATTTTGTGGATGACATGATTATTTTTAAGCTTTTTTTTTCCCTTTCCTTAATTGAGGTGGGTACTAGACCATTAATTTGTACGTATGTGTATGTAAAATTATTTAATCTGTATATTGTATATGAAATGAAGGATCTGAGCGCTCATTTTTATTAACACCTTTGCCCCATCATGCACTTTTTTAGGATTTCACTATAAAAAAAATGTATTTATTTTTTTCAACCATACTTTCAAGTCTTTAGATTGCCAACTAGGTTTTTCAAAGTTGGTTGATAGTTAAGCACAACATAATAGTAAACACTTTAGTTTCAAAAAACGTTGTGTGATTCTTACACATGCATGTTGTTTTAAGCCTGCGTAGAGTGAAGTGGAACAAGGTGATTTTTTGTGTCATTAGCAAGTTGCCCAAATATGTGAGGCCTGAGTTTAGGTTTGTCAGTTTTGTGTTGAATCACACAGTTAAAATTTGAAGGGTAGGACAAAAAATTATAATGTAGCTCACAATATAATTTTTATTGGCAACTAAGCACAACGCATAAGTGACAATAAAAGTGAGTGTAAACCAATTTACGTTTGAAGAACAAACGTGTGTTTTTTGGGGTCTAAATTGTTATAGTTTACGTTTGCTTCATTTATTGAAGTCAAAGGTTTCTAAATGTTTGTTGCCAAAGTATGTTTGTGTGGTCTAAATGTGATTCATTCTTACAATTTTAACTTTTCATAAATAAATGTCTTACTTAAAAGTCGCTCCACACTAAACTGAAATCGGAGACCTGCAAGGGATTGTGCTTTCAAACACATTAGCATTTCAATAATATATCAGCTAGAGTTTGATATACAACATGAAAACAGGCAGATTACATCAATTTTTTTAAATATAATTTGAAGTTGAAAATTATACATTAGGATATCATCTTGTTTAATGACGTGCTATGTCGGCATGGAATTTAGAGGAAAAAGTTAATGAGCAACAAACAATCTTTAACAGAAATCTGAACTATGGGGCTTCTATTCTGTACGTGAAGTAGTATTCTTTATTTGCAAGCATTCTCCATTTGAGGTAGAGTACTATATATTTGGGTGCTAGAACTTGTTTGTAAGTATGGAGAAAAACTTTGCAACGATTGAATAATGTAATTTAAAATTTTTATTATAATGGTGCATGGACTGTTCCATCCAGTAACAGATTATTCACCATTACAAATAATATGATTGTTATCAAGGCTATGGAGACAAATAATCATTGGAGATTCAGCCTCTGTGTCACTTGGGCTCTTACCCATTTCACAGTTGCTTGTTGGATCTCACAACACACTAAAACTATCTATATATATATATATATATATATATATATATATATATATATATATATATATATATATATATACACACACAAAAATTTTCTTGGCACTCACCCTTTCGTGTAAAATAATCCAATTTGAAGATATATAAACAAAAGAAAAGAGATGCACTCCAAGGACTTAATAAGTGAAAAAAGGGGTAATTTATCCAATAGGTATTGCATCAAAATTTAGCCGACGTTTTGACCCATGCTTGAGAAAGACCCGAATGGGTCGAAACGTCGGCTCAATTTTGATGCAATACCTATTGGAATAAATTACCCCTTTTTTCACTTAAGTCCTTGGAGTGCATCTCTTTTCTTTTGTTTATATCTACACATTCCACAGATCCTTGCACTGCAGGTTGTAAGTTCCAATGGGTTACATGCTGGGTGCCAGATCCAGGTCATCCATATACAAATGTATTCCAATTAATGATTCGCACTCACAGGCTCCAGTTAAAATGTAACTTTTATTTCTTATATTAAAAGAACGCTATAGATGCCATAGATTGTCAACGTTTCAGTCCCAGGTCGGGACTTTCCTCAGGTTGGGACTTTCCTGAGGAAAGTCCCGACCTAGGACTGAAACGTTGACAATCTATGGCATCTCTATCGTTCTATTAATGTAAGAAATAAAAGTTACATTTTAACTGGAGCCTGTGAATGCGGATCATCAATTGGAATACATATATATTTGTTGTTTTTATATACATATATATATATATATATATATATATATATATATATTATACAAATACACACATTTAAGTGTGCAGAATAAAAAAAATCCCATGGCTGTTAATGCATTTTAAACACTGTCTATTCATTTCAGTATGACTCTTTGAAATTATCAATATAGTACTCCATGTTCACCATTTTATATTATTAAGGTGTTCAGGTATTTACATCGATAGTGGTAGTGCATGTTTCTTGAAGCAAGACATGAAGAAGACATTGCTGTAGTTTTGACCTTATAAGCACTGGAATTTCTTGAATCATTCTGTCAAACTTTTGATAGTAAAATTACGTTTATTAGTTCACTATGTCCTGAGTTTGCTATGAGTAGATTAGATAAGAATATTTTAGGTCACTTCGCAGACATATAAACTCTTCAGTATCCAGTCAAATTAAAATGGCGATACGTGTTGGCTGCTACACATAATCGGTGTAATTTCATTTCTGTGTAATTTCCATAATTTTTAGCTCATTTTAAATGTCTATTTGGTGCAGTAGACTACCTCTGATTTTATTTCCCATAAAGCAAACTCTAATTACTCTGCCTGATTTTTATTTATTTTTTATTTTTTTCCTCTTTGGTCTTTCAGATTATTTTTGTTGTTATTAGACTAAGAAAAAATGTCTGTACACCAATCTTATTTTTTAATGTAAAAAAAGTCAAGCTATCTAAACAAGACTCAGGGTCATGATAGCCCCAAAAATGTGCTTGTGGAATCATCCTTCTGTTTGTGGAGAGGAAGCATCATTTCAATCCACAATTGAGGATCTCCTAATAGGAAAGAAAATGGCTCACGCCCGTGGGTTAGGGTGGGGTTTCATAAGTGTCTTCCGCAGTACAGCGACATTCATTGTGTCTACGAAGGAAGGTCATTCTCAATTTTATCACAGCTAAGAGACTCCTATTTCGTGACATGTGATATTTGTTTTGTTCAGGCAAGCAAAGACATATTTACCCCAGAAACATTAGACTAAACTTATATAACAATTCTATACCATCAAGGAGAGTACTGCTGCTTTCACTAGTTTATCTCTTTTAAACAGGGTTTGTGCCTTATTCAAAATGCCTGTGCAAAGTTCATGGTTTCACTCTGTTATTAATGCTTGGTTTCCAAAAATGTATCTACATTCTTCTTGAGTGAGAACAAGCACTGTCACAATGATAGATCCTACTCAAAGCTGGAAACTTTTTTTGTTTGTTTTTCTTATGGACCCATATTAACGTGAACCAAAACATAATTCAGAGCCTGTCTACCTTCAATAATAATAGTCTGTTTTTCTGGTAAATATAGGCAATATTATGGTTAATTTCTACAGGATGACCACTGGAGGTCACAATTGTTATATTGAAATATATTACGTAAACAGGACCTCATGCAGATGTTTATTTGCACAATTCCTCTTAACACTTTCTGTTGAACGTTTAGAATTTTTGTTTTTATGCTGTATGTTTGTTTGAGTTGTCCGTCCATCTGATTGTATGCCGTGAAAAAAAAAAAATCTAGGGAGTTTAGATTACCTCTAATATTTTCTTTTCTCTTATGCCTTTTTAAGGTTACTGTAGACATGAACTTGTTAATATTAAAAATTTTACTGATCACTGTAAAGTTTTGTATATTTTGTAAACATTTTTAGATTGTGGATTTTTCTTTTTGTATAACACCATGTGAATTTAATTTAGAATAAAAAATATTTAAAACCTTTTTCTTATACAATGTCTTAAAACATCCACAAAATGTCAGCTGTACCATTTGTTGTTTATCATTCTGCAATGCCCCAGCAAGGGGAGGAGACAGGTTTTAGTTTTCTTTTCTAAATTGGTACCCAAAGCAAATTTTAGGTCAAAACAACCATTATAATATTCTCTGATTCAGAGCTGATGAATTTTTCCAGAAATTTCTGGGCTGGGCCCCAAATAATAATTTCTGACCCTTACACTAACATATGTCTTGATATGTTCCCACCTTTATATGTTATTTGCCCTTCTCTCTACCAATGAACAATATGCTGCTGATGCTCTCTTTGACCTCATGGAAAATATAACCAGAAACAATCAAATTCTGTACAGCCAGATATGTAATGTGATGATGCCACATTACTAAAAAGAGGGGATTTCAGCAAAGTTCTGTTACATAGCAACCCTCCCATCAGTCACCTGGGGTTTCTCTTCCCATTAGTAGTCCGACAGAACATTATACCATTGATCTTTCTTTTTATTACAAGCGGCTACTTTGAGAAGCAGCTGCGTTAAGTAAAAATAAAAAGCACTAATATCCTCCTGCCCCTACACCAACTGAAGAGATCTGCTGGTAAAGAGTCCAACATCCAGGGCTTCAGTTCCTGAAGTCTGAAACACCATCCCCAGCAATATCTATGATTCTTTATTTATAGTAAACAATGTTTTTGAAAATTCAAATTTTGGCATCTACATATACAACTGCTGTCTGGAAGCATAACATCCACTAATCTTAGACTATTGCATTTATTTCCTGGTGCTGATCTGAGATTATGGAACCCACATTTTGCCGTCAAACCAAGCATCAAAGGGAATAGTGCGAGGATGACAGCCACCATGCGGTACTAGATTTGAAGCTATGGTCTGACCTTTCAAATAATGGACAGTTCATGAGGAGTTTACATCTGAACACTGGTATGTATAGCACTGTAACTTGGATAATGGACAACAGGTTTAGTCACTTTGCCTTTTCACAACCCATGCTAGCAACAAGCTATAATTATGTGAAACATAAAATAGTGAGAGCACAGCATGGGACTAAAGATGTGAAATATCTTCATAAATGTAAAGGCTGTTAAGCCTGTACTTATCGAGCCCATACATATCCTTATCTGCATAGAGAGAGTGACGTCCTCGTATGGAAGTGTTGACTTGACGCGTTCCAACAGTGTCGTGTGGCAACTTCTGGTTCTCCAAGTCTCGCATACAGCAAGGATCGACAGCTACGTGTTCAGTTCTCTACATCTCCTGGGGGCTGCATCCATAGAGCCTTGCACAGATATAGACCCAGAATAACATTGCTTTACATAACATACAATGTCCCATTCCTTTCTTTACGTCACTCAGAGGTGGAGAGCATAAGATGGATTGCTGGTATAGTTTAAACTTCTTGAAATGACCTTAAATGGCACACATATGACTCATATAAAGCATTTGTCTGCATCAGAGGTGTAACTAGAAACCACCGGGCTGTGGGGCCCCCCCCATGTGTCTCCTTTCCCCCCCCCGCCAGTCCCTCCATGTGTCTCATCCTCTCGCCTGTCCTTCCACTGTCTCATTCCCTCCGTCTGTCCCTCTACTGCTACCGCCAATTCCCCCACAGGTCTCATTGCCCCCCAGCGCCTCCATGTGTCTCTCCAACCCTCCAATGCCCAGTCCCTTAATGTGTCTCTCCCACCTACCCCATGTATCTTTGCCACCCCACAACCCCCCATGTGTCTCACCCAGCCCTTCCATGTGTGTGTGAGACACATACTGACAGATACACACTCACTAATAGACATACTGGTCTGGGTACTCTCCATTGGGCTGTGCTGTGACAGTTTCTTTCTCCTCCTGCGCGGTGTTTAGTATGCCGGGGCCGGAATAACATCATATTCTGACTCCCAGCATCACAGAGGGAGTGCGAGGGAGCTAGCAGATGAGATTATCACCCATCACATATTCTGACTCCCAGCATCACAGAGGGAGTGCGAGGGAGTAGAAAGGAACTATCCTATCAGTGCTCCCTCACCGAACGCTGCCTGCCTCCTGTTCTCCCCTCGGTATATATAGGTATCTGCCACCGAAGTAAGCAGGTGCCTACTCAGGCTCACTGTCCATGTGGCAATTCAGGGGTGCCCTAGCTGGGCCCCCTGCCACAGTTCTTCTCTTAGCGGGCCACAGTTGCATAGGTGAGCAGGACTGCGACCGTGGTAGTTCCGCCACTGGTTTGCATGTCGATTAAGTTTTCATTTACTGGATTTCAATATGCTATATTTGTTACAGTTCTGTGTTCTTTAATACAGTACTTGTTTGTGTCCCTATATGTCATATGATATGCAAATTGTTCTACTTTATATAGCTCTAATGTATTCCACTGCTCTCTACACATTAACTTTTTTCTTTGATGCCCTACCCTCCATCATCACCATTAATCGCTCCAGCATTGTGATATACAATCATGGGAAAAAGAAAGTACACCCTGTTTGAATTCTATGGCTTTACATGTCAGGGCATTATAACAATCATATGTTCCTTAGCAGGAATTAAAATTAGTTAAATACAACCTCAGATAAACAACAACGCATGACATATAACACTGTGTCATCATTTATGTAACAAAAATAAAGCCAAAATAGAGAAACAATGTGTGAAATGTCATGTGATGTTGTTCATCCCAGGAAAAACTAATACATTTGAAATATGAGCCACTATATTAATTACAAACATTTCACTAATATGAGGGTTACAATTTGTGGAACTAGGCTGCCAAGGGGTACACAAAAAAAGCTTGGGAACCACTGCTCTATGGGATAATCTGATGTACAGTGAGAGGGAGGTGTTTCCTGCAGACATACAAATTGGTTTTGATTTATGTAAGTCTCGGAAGACCTGGTGTCTTGTGGCAGGTATATTTAGCCCAATAACATTCAATAAGAGGATTTTAAGATCCATAATTTGGACTAATAACATCAGTCGTCTTCAGGGTTCATAAAATTAGATAGGTCTGTAAAATGTTGTGACAAAGAAGAAATAGTCATAGAGCGTTTCATGGCTTAAGCTTTAATTGTGTAAAAGTGTTATTCTTGTTATCACATCCCTCGGGGCACCTTGAGGTGCTTTTGTAGTCTGCTGTAGCTTGTGTGTACAATCCAACAATGCCCGATATAGGTCAGGGAGGAGCTCTAATAATAAAAAAAATTTTTTAAAAACTCAAACGTACGTTAGTAAATATGTGGCCTTCACCTCTTATGGCATCCTCCGGATGCGGAAGTTATTCCTTTGTGCCCTGTCCTCTAAATCAATTACTTTCAGCTTTGGCGCCCTTACCTCCCTGCACGGGGCCATACGTTCACTCTAAAAAGAATTGTGATGGGTGATAATCTCATCTGCTTTCTCCAGCATATTAGTCCCAACTCTCCCTGTTCCCTCTTTCACTGCCAGCATGCACATGTCTGCCTTTATGTCTCTTAAGTCCTTGCAGAATTCAGCTTTGTTTGATGTCCCCTGCAGCTTGAGCGCCCTCATTTCACCCGGTGGACTGTCTCCTCCAAGTCAGAGGCCTCTGCCATCTTGTTTCCACCGTCAGGGAATTTCTGTTCCGTTTGGGTGGCAGGGATACCTAGAATTGTAGAACACTTTGTGGGAGCTCTGTCTGACTTGCAAGGCATTTCTGGTCTCAGAAATTTGGTTTGGTATTAAAAGGAAAATGGTTCGCACGGAGCTTCTTTAACGCTTGTTCTTCTTCATCTGCTCTCAAACTGACTGGCAGATTCTGACTTGTTGCGTTTTTACCATCTAATGGCTAACTCTCAATTTAACTCTCAACTCTTGTTGGATAGTGTTTGCTGTTGATAAAGTACACTTTAATTTCCCTTCCTTTCTGATTACTGGTTCAGCCAAGTGGGCTCTTTCCATTGAAATAGTATTATTAAAGATGAATACAATAATAAAGTGAATTAAGAATTGTGAGTTTAGCATTGAGGCTTTCCAAGAGATAACATTCCTTATCAGTAAATGCATTTCCTAAAATAGTTTGTGTTATGCTGATTTGCTGTTATTTCAGTACCTTTCATACTTTAAAATATTCCCATGACATTCATATTTTCAAGATGTTATTATTAAGGTCTAATCTTATGTGAAAGGGATGGTAATCCGACTGCTAGATCTTAATCATATTTAACCTTTTTACAACGGGATTAGTGCATACATGATTCCCAGGTTACCCACCTATAACCCAGAGTCATATACACCATGCCCTTCACTAATATTGACACCCTTGTTAAATATGAGCAAAGAACACTATGAAAATTGTCTTTAATGTTGAACTTTTTGATAAGAAAAATACTCTGCTCTAATGTATATCGAACAGTTGCAATCACAACACAGGTTGTTTTTTTTGTTTATATATATGTGGGACAATTATTGGCACTCCTATGAATTCATATGAGAAATATATATTTGAAGTATATTCCCATTGACGTTTTTACTTTTTTTTATTACACCTGGGTTAATTGGAACAGGGAATTGGTTAACCGTGATTTCTTGTTTCACGTGGGTATAAATATGAGGTAACACATAGGCCAAATTCCCTTAGTCATGCATCACAATGGGTAAGACCAAGTAATATAGACTGAAGACAGTCATCCTCATTCACACACAATCATTCATCACACACAACGCATCATCATCATAAACACAACACATAAATCAAGATAACAAGCAGGCCCACATACACACAACACAGTGAAAGCAGATCCCCCAGTCATATACACTCCAAGACACAGAGATACACATTCTCAAGCACATACACAGGTACACAATACCAGACACACATACAGACACACTCAGCCAGGAATACATCGTCTCTGTATCAGCGTGAGTATGTGTGTGTGTGTGTGTGTGTGTGTGTTAGTGTGTAGACACAATATAAGAACATATAGAATAATATAAATGTGAGAGGATTGTAGAGTATGTGGGGATAAATTG